AACTGAATCAGTAAAAATAACCAACAAAAATATCTCTAGAAAGTGAGAACATGTGCTCTGAGCCCCAATAGCCATTGAGCCAACCAGTTCTTCACCAAGCTCTATCAGGATCACCTATCCCTAGCTGACTCTTCGGTTCAGAATTCAACCCAGGGTGGCTTTGTCACACAAATAGAGGGAAAGAAACCAGGGGCTTTTAAATTCACAGTGACTAGAAGTTCAGACCCAATGCAGATGACATCCAAAGTAGCCCAGCTGTCCCCCAAAATACAATTCTAATAAGACCCAGCGAGGTAAGCACAAGTGAACTGAGCTTACTTCCTGCCTGCTGCCTCCAGGAGTCTGCTTTAGTTTCGTCTGTCTGATTCAAAGCAGGCTTCTCTTTCCACTCAGGTGATTGAATTCCAGATTCAAAAGAAGGTCTAAAAATAAGGACTTACCTCATTTACCTAACGATTCTGGGTGGGAAATCCAATAGCTGTGGCTAATGGAGGAGAGGCAGCAGGCAGCCCTCACGCCAGCTCCTACAGGGATGGGGAACCAGGGGTGTTATCACGTCTGAGCCTTCATCAGAGTGAAGATAAATACATATGACAATAATTTTAAATCATTTTGTAGGATGTTAAGCAATAAGCCACCAACCGGGAATTCCCTAAGTCACTTCCCCCTCTTCTGATTGGCTGCCCGGCCCTTTAAAAAAATAAAATAAAGGATTACAAACATTGGCTCATTTGCATTTGGCCAACTCACACGTTAGTGTTCAAACAAAACAGGTCTAACCAGGTTATGCCTGGGCCTCAGGAACAGAGAGACAACCTGTTAATGGATGAGGAACTGATCTGGTGGTGACTGCTCTTTTCGGCTTAGAGGCTGTTTCAGGTGAAAAACACCAAACGTGCTCCCCCAAGACACCATCGGGAAGGGAGAATGTAGAAACAAAGTGAGCAGAAATTCAAATCTGGAGGAGATGATGGTATAGAGGAGTGGCATCTGTCTCAGGTACTAATCTATATTTAGTCCACTCTGCTTTGGCATCAAGATCTTTGCCCCGGCTGTGCGAGTACCAGGTTCTGGTGAGGCTCTCAGCCAGGTGGCCCACAACATAGGTTCTCTCTTTAGGCACCATGATTGCTTTTTTGACAGCTACCCTTGGCAATTTCAATGGACTTTGAAAAGCCAGTCTCCTCTGGCCTTGGGAGAAAGTTTGAAGGGAAGGTTCCAGGACAGAAGTCCCCTCTGAGTTGTTAGGTGAAACAGTCAACTCTCAACAGTGTCAAGGCTGACTATCCTGTTGGCGGATTATCCAGGGTCTTTACTTCCTCTTAACATTTACATGGTCTCTTTTACTATTTATCGACACTTCTGTCAGAGCTAGAGAGAGACCAAGATGCTGAAACTGGAAATAAAACAACACAGTTTGGCAAGAAGAAGGTGGAATCCTGGGGAGGCTCTATGGATTCCAAATACTCATGCAATCTCCATTATCCTGGGCTAAGGGCCTGCTTCACAGGGTCACCAATGTACTTCCACTAGCACAGGTGAAATACTGCTCCTGGCAAGGAAAAACACCCTCCCCTAACCATTAACTTATTCTCTGGTCTTCCTGGACACTGGCTGGGCATGAGCTAAGCATCTAAGCAGATTACTTTAACTCACCAGGCCTCCCTTCTGTGGGAGAGGAAAGGGAAATTGAGTTTTGGCAAAGGACAAAGATTTTGCGATCAAAATCAAGAAGTTCTTTGTGTAGAAAAAGAAGTCTGTATATGGGCAAAGCCTGAATCAAACAAAAAATAAGTGGTTGTATTATTAAGGTGAGTGAGTAGTAGTGACATTCCTTTCTTGCTTGTTTTCCTAGTTTATGCGACATAAATGCAGAGGTTTCTGAAGGCGGAGAAGACTTGATGGGAGGGCAGGGGTGGATCCAGAAGGGTCTGGGAACTCAGGTAGGTCTGGAAGGTTTTGAGGGTTTGGGAGTACAGTTTAAGGAGGCTCTAAAAAGCCCCTCTGCCTCCTTCTCTTTACTAAATATTCCCTCTATTCCCTCTCTTCAACCATGTATTTCCCAAGGGCCCTATTAAAATGCAAATGTCTGGTAAAAACAGTATATGTCATTATTGCCTATTATCACATTAGCCCCAATTAGTCTATCAGCTCCATATCTGAGAGAAGGGCCCTGAAGGAATGGCCTGGTGACGTTTTCTTTTGCTTGAGTGATGAATCAGGAGCAATCTGAAGTAGCAACTCCACCCACTACAGGCTGTGCAGGCGTGTGTGCGTGTGTACACGTGTGCCTTGGGGAGACAGGGTATGATTAGTGCCAGTGGGACTCCTTTACAATTTTGCCTGAGATTAACCTGAAGACAGGAGGTGGGAAAGTAGGAAGGTGGGGAAGTGGGCAGGGGTTATGTGGTCAAGAGGTGGTGAACTTCAAAAGCAGCCCCAAAAGTGACATCACTTTTTGGTCCAGTCCCAACCACCTTTAATTATAGGCTCTTAAATTTCTAGCTGAAGAGTTCCAGTTACTTCTCCATTCCTTTATCCATCTTATCTTGCCCATTTTATATCTGAGGACTGATCCATTAAGGCAGTCCAGAGAAGAGTCATTCTGGGATGGTGGAGGTGAAAGGAGATGGAACGATATCACCTCATCCTCACCGGCCACTGTATTCATGGAGTTTTTATGTATATAAAATAGCTAACAATGTGTATGGTACTTAGTGGGTCCTTACTAAGTATCGGTTCTCTTCTTTACTTGGGACATAATTGAAACTTCTAGAAGAAAAGCAAAAACAAGACAACATTCCTCCCCCATCCTCAACCCAATCTCCTAAAAAGCTGGATTTTTAGGAATGTTGTATGTATAAAAAAAATTCCTTTTGGTGTATGTATGAGTTCTTTTACCCTATGGTCAACTTCAACAAGACAGCTCTTTCATCAAACTAGAAGGATGGATAGAGATGATAGATAGATAGATAGATAGATAGATAGATAGATAGATAGATAGATAAATAGATAGAGATAGATAGATAGATAGATAGATTAGATAGATAGATAGATAGATAGATAGATAGATAAAAAGAAAGAAAGAAAATTGGTTTTA